CCCCCCCCCCCCCCCCCCCCCGGGTAAATAGGGACCTCAAGATTCGAGAACGAGGAATACTGCGAGGGCGAAATTCAACTTAACGTTTTTTCACAAATTCTCAAAAAATACACTTTTCGGAAAGCTCCTTTTGCTTTTTTTTTTCTTTCAACCAGAAAAGTTAATAAAACAATTATTGAAATTATTCAGATCTCGGAGAATGTTATCCACCTCGGCCGTAAGCCTCGGTGGATATCCTACTTAGCCTCATTCAAAAATTGCCAAATATTCTACCTTTAAGATTTTTCTTAACCAGAGTAAAACACTCTTTGACAAAGAACATACTGCTAGGGACATAGGACGTCATTCAAAATAACCGCTATCTTGGATTTTTCTGAAAATTCATATTTGAACACGTTCTGTTACGATAGTTTGAGACTTTTATTTAAAGTACCCAAACCTATCTTGAAATTGAAAGACAGAGCGGTATTCAACAATTTCGCATAGTTGAGAGAAATATTACGGGCAATGTGAGTTTAAAACAGCGATTTTTGGAACATGCAGGCTATATTTTCCAAAATGCAGGCACCAACACTTCGCAAAAGAATTGGGACTCAAGGACTTTTTTTTTCTTGCTCGAGGCCTAAAATGTGTTCCCATCCTGTTTCGCTATGAAAACTAGAGAAAAAATAGTCCAGTCTAAGTCAAGGGCTGAATGGGTGTTAGTGCTGCTGTGGTGGGTTACGATGGCTCTTCCAAGAAGCTGAAAGTTTGAGTCTTTAAGCCAAGAAAATTCATTATACTGGGATGATATACTGGGATGAGTAATAAAGAGAAAATGCGGAAAAGTTGTTGACAGCTCTAAAGGCGGCCTAATTAAATTTTAAACTATTTTTTAATACAGGGTAAAGTTTGCTTATCACAACTAATGTTTCCCAGGGTACCTAAAGATTACGTTTTGCTAATAACATAAAACTGCAAAATGTTCACGAATCTTGTCTACAGAATTTCACTTGTTTTTACTGCCTGTGTAAGTATACTACCGATAACAAAAAAAAATTACAAATTACTGATGGTTTGCATGGCAGCAATGAAAAAAAAATTAGTTTAAATTGCAACTTGACTTAATAAAGCAAAAAAAAAAACCGAACTTTTGAAAATGAATTTTCATTTTTGTGACACATGTCCTTGTTTACGAAAAGTTCTATTAAAATTTCTGAAACGTTTCATAACCTGTCTCTACGATATCCTCATTAAACGCCTCGTCATCTTATGATCATCAAATTCAATTTTTTGTCATCTGGGACTTTTCTCCTGAGTTATGTCATATGTCTTCGAAAGAGACAATCTGCTCCTCCATTGTTTTCTTCGCGAAAATCTATTATAAAAAATGAGAAATGAAGGTAAATCGCCAGAGTTCCAAAAACAGTGATCGATAATGAGGTAAGATCTGAAGCACCCAGTTACTATTCAGTTGAGCAGTATTCGTTGTATTATGGCTTTTGTCGAAGAATTTTAGGACCCCATTTTACCTGCGCCCGGCGATATGAAATTAACAGGTGCATACAATGTAAATTTTTGCCGTAATAATTCCTGGTTTTCACTGTCACGCCATCGTCCAATAGGTTAACTCTAGAATCTAGGAAATGAAAGGAGGTAAATATGCAAAGACCCTCGCCAAAATTCTGGTCCGTACAATTTTTTGTATGTGAGATATTCAGAGAAATGATTTACCTAAATTTATATAGCTTTGTGTAGGGACGCCATGTTTGTGCCCATCCCGGGATGTGCACTTTTAACATGGGCATCGATAGAGAAACTAATACACATTAAAAGTAATAAATTTTACAATAAAGGACTATATATTTAGATAGCAAAAGCTCCCAAAATAAGGCACAAATTAAACCTTTATGACAGCTCTCTAGGCCGCCATCCAAATACTGCGTCAAGCAAAAGCTTGGAATTCAAGCGTGCTCTATCACAAAACTAACAACTCCTTCGAAGTGAAATTTTGTAGAGATATTAGCTTTTAGATATTAAATTTTAGCTTCTCCAATACTTCATGCAAGTAAAAAAACAGGAGAATCGTTCATTCTTTTGTTTGAAATTTGATGACGTCGAGTAAAAACATGCAATTCTGTCTATCCAAGTTGTCGCACAGTGTGTCGAGACCTACTATCATTATCATTTGCATTAGAATCAGCATCATCATTATCCTTATCATTATCGTTAAAATTATCCGCATCATTTTATCAGTATATTCGTTCGTCTATTTAAAAAAAGGAAAGGAAGAGTAAATGGAAATCATGCATAAATATTCAAAATTGTTTCGGGCAATTTGTCTGTTTCAGCAACATATTGTGGTAAGCATTGATAACGATAGCGTGTTGAAACAGCCAACAAATAAGGTGCTGGAAAAGTAAATATACGAAAATTTGTATTTGCACTGATTATAATTAAACGTGATTGCTAACTTTCTTTTTCTTTTAATATTTTCTCTCTGTCAATTACTTGAGGATATGAGAAAGCTCATGACCAGAAGCGAATTGATCATTTAGGCTTGAAAAGATACTAATAATCAATTTCACTTCCTGATATTACAGCTTAATCGAAAATCAGGGACATAAAATTGTAATAGAATTGAGCTACAAACTGAAAATGCAAATGCTGATTTTGGAATAAATTTATCTAGAATAGGGGAAGAAATTTATGAAGAACAGCAGCGATAATATTGGTCATGAGGAGTGTTTGGAATGTTGATGTCAGGAGCAGGTCGATTTTTGACGATGTATTTTCGCACAATACCAATTTTCGCAAAGGTTAACATGTGCCAAGTTTGACAAGAAGCTAGTATGGTTATTCGATCAGTTTATTAGCTTGATATAATTGAAGGTGGAATCCTATTATATGAGCGAGATAATAAAATCTCTCGCAGAGTTTCGGGCTTGAAAAACACAAATTGCTGAACTTGTAATTTTTTTAAGAACACATTAAGTGGATGTTAAAAACACGGCCATTATTTTAATTTTTTTTGTTATTCCCAGATCCTGCAGAGTTATTGTATAAACAGACAATAGGCTAACAAAGAGTATCCCATTACAGATTGTGCAAATTTTTAGCCGATTCCACGGCTGTTAGGTTACACGCCGACGCAAGAACATGTAAATATACATTCAAACATTGGCAATTGCGAAAAAGACAAGGAAAAAACCGATAAGATCCTAAACTTCACTGATGACTTCGAATGTTGCTCTTGAAAGAACCGTTGGGATGTCTTGTAAGTTGTTGGTAGAGTTCATATGCATATTGATTTTAAATATTCTGATCTCTGCTTCGAGTGGACAGTCTTTCAACTCCTTTACACCAAAGCGAGCACAAAATATCAAAGGAGACTTCATCTTCGGCGGCTTATTTCCTGTGTTCTTGAGCGAGAAAAACACAGCAAAATGCTACGATAACAACAGACGTTTTCAACAGTTTAAATCCCTACGCGGAGACAAGTTAAATTGTTACAGGATGAACGTGTTTGGCCTGATGTGGGTGGAAGCGATGCTATTCGCAATTGAAGAAATAAATAACAGTACAATAATACTCCCGAATATAACACTTGGTTACGATATAAGGGACACTGGAAACGAGTTTCAATTCGCCATGGAAGCTGCCCTAGATTTTTCTTCCGGATTTGAAAAGCCCAACAAAGGATCCCATTCGAACAGAACACAGTGCTATAATTCGTCAGTCGTCGCTGTAATTGGTGGAGCGGGCTCGAAAATATCAAAGGCTGCGGGTTATATCCTGGGTGTATCTTCGATTCCACAGATAAGTTACTCATCAACAAGTCCCTCCCTTAGCATCAAGTCGAATTTTCCCTCGTTTTTAAGGACCATCCCACCGGACTATGTGCAAGCACAGGTTATGGCCGATTTAGTGACGTTTTACAACTGGAGTTATGTGTCAACTATTGCTACCGACGAAGATTACGGAAGGCTAGGGATCGAGGCATTTAAAAGAGAATTAAAGCCGCGAAATATTTGCATATCTGTTGATGAGCTTTTTCACCCAGACTACACGCTGTCGGAGACGAAAGCACAAATCGCGCGCATAGTCAGCGCGCTCAAGGAAGACAAGCTTGCAAAGGTCGTTGTCTTGTTCTGCGAAATACCAAACGCGTTAGCCTTCTTAGAAGAAGCCGAGAGACAAAACCTAGCTGGAAAAATCTGGATTGGAACAGACTCGTGGGGAGATAAGGAATCAATTCTATCGTTTAAAGACTCAACGGTGAGTGGGATGTTGGCTGTTGTGCCGACCAAAGGCAACATTGAAAAATTTGAAAAGCACATGGAAACACTGACACCCTTAACATCTAAGCACAATCCTTGGTTTGAGGATTTTTGGCAGGGGACGTATGGATGTGAACAAGAGAAAAGCAAAGATCGCTGTAAAGAGAATCCCTCTAACAAAAACTACACGGAATTGAACCACCAGAATTATACGTTGTATGACGTCATCTGTCATGGTTTCTCAGGTGATGGGCTTCCAAACGCAGGTAGTTTGCAGATGAGTAAGGCTGCAAATGTTATGGATGCAGTTTATACTGTAGCCTTAGCACTAAATGACATTATAGAGTGTAGAAAAGGACGAGGCCTTTTGCCAAATGGCGAATGTCCAAAAGTGATGAAAAACCAGAAAAACGGTGTCGATCCGTTAGATGTTTTAACATATATCAAGAACTTATCGTTCACCGGTAAACTTGGTTTTCCAATCATGTTCGACAAGTATGGAGACATCAAAGGTTTGAATGATAAATTATTATATTTATTTACATGTATTGTTAACCTTTAAATCCCAATAGTGACCAACATCAATTTTCTCTTAACAATATCTATACATAATTAAAAGGAAAGTTTATGAGAATAAATTAAATGATCACCTCAGGCAAAATGCCTTGATCTTTGAACAAATTAATTCCCTCAACTAATTGTGTAAGGAAATGTTTCGAGATTATTTTGGAGAATTTGTATGTGGATACTTGGGCTTAAAGAGGTAAAAGTGTTCACATAAGGGATAGAGTTACACACTGATTTATTTTTTACATGTAGCTTTTACACAAAAAATACCCTGAAATCATTTAACTGATAAGAACATAAAAAGAACGGTGATAATGTTTAAAATTAAATTGCGTCTACACATTAAACAGTACAACCTCGATATACAACGAAGGGCCAAGGGACTGGCTGGCAAAATGTGTTCCCTATAACGAGGTTTCGTTATATTGAGGTTCTTTTTCATACATTTTACTATTTCTGGGGTACCTCTTTCGTTTTACCGAGGACTTCGTTCAGTGAGAGGTTCGTTATATCAAGGTTCCATTGTACTCAGTCTTCAAAAACTAATTATGTACCAAACTTGGTTTCACTGGTTGCACAGTTTCTAAAAGCAGGGCGTTATTACCGAAATATTTTACATCTGAACCAAGTCAAGAAGTTACAAACTATATTTTCTTTTAAAACAAACGTCAACTTCGGTGGTAAATTCGTTTAACACCAGACAGCTGAACAAATCCGATTGTTATTCACATTTTTGTGTTTATTTATTAGCATTTTAAATTTTATTCAGAATTACAGTTCTGTATCGATGTTGCGAACACAAGACTTCCGTTTTCGTAATAAATTAGCGTTTATTGATAATCCAAATATGTTTTCATATAAAATTTACTTTTAGTGATTTTAGCTGGTTCACTCAACAATAAAAGAAAAGTAATGACTCGTTCTCGATCTTCAATCACCTTGACTTTACATTAAACTTTCAAGGTCATTTTGATTAAAAAAGTCCCCACAATACGGATGACAATCACCTGTCAACTTGCGGGGTTGCCATCTTAATTCACAATGTGCAATCTTCTAATATTGAATTTACGATCGCAGGTAATTCTGCAGTAGAACCGTTGCTGCGTTGCACCAGTCTAGCCTGAATTTCAACCGATTACTTCGAGTCGCTATTACTCCCTCAGTTGCTGAGAGGAGGAAACGACTCGAAGCAATCGGATGAAATTCAGGCTAGCACCAGTCAAGTTTAGGCTTTTTATATTAACTGAAAAATTTTCTCCACCATCTAGCCGATTTGTGATAAGAGCAACGGTAGATTGTTGTAGGTTAGATTCTCAGCGTAGTAAAATATTTCTTCGCCTCTCATGGTTCCCCAGTTCCCTTTGCTGAGGGCTGACGCTTCTCAGCGAGGAAGGGGAGGGGAGAACTAACATGTGAAAGCCATGGGGATGCTCTTCGTCACCCTTAGGGGTAGAAATTGCAGATTTTGTTGTTTAGGACGAAAACCTATATATCCACCAGTGTTTACCTCCCCTTCAGGTGATAGTTTTATATTAGGGAGCTTAAGCAACGACGACGGAGACGGCAACGAGAACGGCAAAAAAAACAATAGGTTTAGATTGGCAAAACAACAATTTAGCACGTGCATCACGCTTTTTTGTACATTTCTTTACAGTCACTGAAAAACTACGACGTTAAACTTCCTAATTTTACGTTTTATGGAGGACGTGAAAATAAGACAACGATTTTCGTTTTCTTTTTGTGAACTTAGAGACAGTCCTTTAAAATTCAACTTCTAAAAAATCGCCAACAATTGACAAATTAAAGGAGTTGGAAGAGCAGCAACAGCGCGAATTCACTTTTTGGTTTACGTTTTTGCTACCGTTGCCGTCGTTGTTGCTTAAGCTCCCCATTATTCAGGGCAAAAACATCAATAGACCTTTTTACCGATACGGCGGCCATATTGAATTAATTCGATTTAAGGAGTATTATAGGATGCCCAGGGGGCATGAGCGAATTTCGTTTGTATCTTTGAGCGCTTTTCGGGACTTCTTTTCTTAAAGTTTTCTTAGAATAAGATTGTAATGGGAAAAAAGATCCTTGTGCCCAACCTCGTCCCCAGGGCTTTTCCCTCAGAAAATGGGTGGGGCCACCCATTTTTTGAGGGAAAATCCTTGGGACGAGGTTGCCTTGTGCCGTGTTTTGATGTAATAATGATCGCCTTCTTCTAGTTTAGTATTAGAAATATGGACTTTCACTGTATTTTTCTCAGGAAAAAGGCGATCATTATTACATCAAAACACGGCACGAGGATCTTTTTGCCCATTACAATCTTATTCTAAGAAAACTTTAAGAAAAGAAGTCCCGAAAAGCGCTCGAAAATACAACGAAATGTGCTCATGCCCCCTCAGCATCCTATAATACTCCTTAAATCAAATTAATTCAATATGGCCGCCGTATCGGTAAAAAGGTCTATTGCCCATCGATGTTTGACGCCATTGTTTTTGATACTTGCTATAGGTAACTACTTAGTAAAAAGCTTGCAGTCTGACCCTGATCACGTGCATGGCAAGAAATTCATTACGTTAGGGACCTGGAATTGGGCCAGGCGCCAGCTCCATTTCCACAACGGTACCAACATATCATGGAACGGCTGGAATCCCATGGTTCCTTTCTCGCGGTGCAGTTCACCGTGTGCACCTGGGTTCTACAAAGTTCAGGGTGATTTGAAATGCTGTTGGAAGTGTGTTCAATGTCCGTCTGGATCAATCACAAACACTACTGGCCAATCAGCATGCTTTGTGTGTCACGTGGGATATACCTCAAATGAGAACCACACGCAGTGTTTAAAGCTTCCAGATGTTTATCTGGAGTGGGGGTCGGTAGCCGGAAGTGTTATTTTAGCCTTATCGGGTTTTGGTTTCTTGAGCTCAGTTTTCGCGCTCGGTGCCTTCTGCAAATATCGAAACAGTGCGGTTGTGAAAGCTTCGACACGCGAATACTCACTGTTGATTTTATCAATAATATCTTGCATGTTTCTTCTACCTCTGCTCTATATAGGCCGACCCTCTAACACCATTTGCATGACGCAGCCTTTTTGTTTTGGATTGGTAATTACACTATGGACGTCCCTCATGTTGACAAAAACATTACGCCTTCTGCTGATTTTCAAAAAAAGGCTTCTACCAGGGAGGGTTAGTATTTATGGCATTCATATGCAACTCTTAATATCGCTTACTTTAACACTAACTGTCTTGGCTGCAATCATTCCATGGATGTTGAAATTCCCTCCAAAAGTAACTCCGCACTACTTCGAGTCTCAAGTCAGCATTGATTGCGGCGACAAGGCGGACACTTTACTCACAATCATATTGGGATATTCCGCTGTACTAGCAATACCGTCGTCGTATCTGGCTTATAGAGCTCGTAAACTGCCTGAGAACTTCAACGAAACTCGACTTATTGGGTTTACATTATTCACTGTGTGTGTCATCTGGATAATAGTTGTTCCATCGTATCATGACAGTGACGTGGAAAACAGGCGCATAATTCTATGCTGTGCTCTCATAACTACGGGTTTTACCATCCTCGTTTGCATGTTTTCCACTCGTCTAAGAATTATTTTATTTCAACCCGAGAAAAACAAGACGGAACTGGTGCGAGCCAGTATGTTTGATTACACAATGCGCATGCGCAATGGATCGACCGCTGCTAAGCACCTTCGGAAAATGTCCGTGGTCACCGTTGGTACTTTTTCTGTGCCAGCTAAAGAATGTTAAACCTTCCGCTGGTAGAAGGCCTACGCAAAACACTTTAACAGGCTTTTAGATGGTTTCTAGTATACGAATAGTAAAGAGAACCAAATGGGTAAAGCACTCAACTACAATAAGACATTTGACTATTTTGCAGTTGTGGGCTTAGTATCCTAGCCTTTGAGTAAACGTGAGGCTGGGGTTAACCTTCTTTTGATACAAACCTCTTTCTTTTTCGTGTGGAAATTATGCGGAAAAATACTAGTTAGCATAAGAACAAAATGATTTACATAATAAAGCAGGAAGGGCTGTATCAAAACAAGGTCAACTCCAGCCTCGTTTCCATCTGTAACTGTAAAATGGGCTACTGTATTTTCACCGAAAAGATAACATCCATTTTATTCAATAAATTAGTTATTTTACAATAATGATAGATGGTTTGCCAGCAAGTTGTCTATCTTCCTATCAGGTTGAATGGATCGAAATGTTGCCTTGTTTTAAATTGGTTATCAAAATTTTTAGCTTAATATTTACCAAAAACGGCAAATAAGGCCCATACAACCTCGAAATGAGTTAATTTATACTAAAGATTTTAAGTCAATTTGATTCAAATTCCTACGACAAAACAGTTGTTGAACTGAGTTCCGGTCGGGTCAAAGTCTTTGCTAGCGCTGCTGACTCATTGTTTTAGCTAAACTGCGAAAAAGGATTCTAACCTTGAAAAAATGTATAGTGTTGTTGCCATCGTATATACATTCCTTTAAATTCAAGGTTAGTCAAATCTCCATTCAACAAAATTTCAAAAACTTGAAACTAGACGGGTTTTACTCGCTTTTTAACTGACCTTGCTACTTTATATACCAAAGCAACAGTAAGGTTCCCGCATCCTCCATATAAATGCGTTTTCAAGACGCTTTTGGTTTTCTCTTCTTCAAATGTTACAGCCATGCTTTACATCCACGCGTTTTTACTGAATAGGACGAGAAAGCGTGGTAAAAACTAAGGCTAAACCGAACAAAGCTAGGCCGTTACAATCTTTGAAAATGTGTAGTTATGGCTGTCCAAGTGCACAATAGACCTCATTAGCTTGTATGTTTTGTTTTCCCAATAGGTCATGTGATAATACTCTAGAGAACTGTTACATTCAAATTTCGCCTTATTCCCGTGCATATGTACGCACAATTTATTAAAAAGACTGGATCAATTAAGGTTTCTGGGTAACTGACCACCAACCCCTCCCCTAAATCACAATTTTGCCTTAAGTGAGAAGTAAGTATCAATGTGGACTAAGGGGAGGGGTAGCGGTCAACTAAACGGCAATATCATGGCGACATAGCCCCTTTAAATCTGTGGACGAATTCCTATACCCTATTGGCAGAAACCTAGTACTATGTTTTCTAAGGAGTTTTGACCGTGGTTAAACGAGCTCAAATGCTTGTTTTTCTTTCTTCTGAACATTCGTTTATCGTCGTAATCTTGGAACTCTGGGATCGTCTTGACCCCAGATTGTTCTTCATCACTGGTAATTTCCCAATAGAGCCCTTCATAAATTGCATCGCTAAGCACGCCGGGGAGGAGTTACGCCGTTGATCCGATCCTTGAACCGGCGATAGGTCAATACCGCTGGCCTGCTCTAGTGAATAACGCCTTGTACTTTCTATAGCAGCTTGCTTCGTGTTTTTCTCAGGTCGGAAGAATATAACGCGAACTTTAGGAAGAAACAAAAGAAAAAGCATTGCATATGCGCCCACCATCAAAGCCATAATTGTGCAAATAAGGTTTCCCTTGGTAGAGGGCCAAGCATGTCTGTTTATCAGAATGATTAGCCATGATGAAATGTTTGTAAACATCGCAAGAAAAATCCATTTGAATTCGGTGTATGCTGAGGGAAGTTTACGAGACTGGTACGCTAAAACACAACACGTTAGCGACAAGAAAATGTTATATCCAAGCGCAGTGACGTCGAAACCCAGATTCGCGTTACATTGTACGAGAAGAGCATCTGAAACGCTGTAGTCGTAAACGAGTTTTGGCGGGAAAATAAGAAGGTGTAAAGCGCATATCCCGAGCTGTACTATGATTAACGCGCATGTCAGAAACCCGTACCAGTAATTACTGAGAAAACGATGCTTCTTGACATTAATGGCGGAAAATATTTTGATGACGCGATTTGTCTTGGTTAAAAGAACCGACGTAATAGCTGTGTACAAAACAGCAAAGACGACAGCTCTTAGATTGCATGTGACATTGGTTGGTTGACCAATATAAAGACCAGGTATTAGAAACCAGGCGAGGAGAACGATCAAAGACAACAGGCTAAGAGTGAGATTAGCTGCTTTCACCACAGGTGTCACATGGTACCGCACAAATACACCAAGTACCAACAAAGTTAACATCTCTCCCAGGCCACACGCTGACAGAAATATAACTGCAAGAAATTCTCCAGCTTTAATAATTATCAGCGGCTTGTCCACGCATGCGCTTTGAAGTCCGTTTGTCATTTGCTCCTTTGGGCACGCACTACACAAGGTCGAGGTGGAGTTACTATTGTATGTCCCATAAGGGCACTTATGGCATCTCCACCAGCAAACACCAGAATAGTTTTCGGTGTATGAGCCCGAAGGACAGCGTTCCCAGCATTCCGAAAAAGGGACTCCAGGCTCCTTACCAGGCCAACGAATTTCACTCGCATTAATTACCAGACCTCTATGTCCGGTTGTCTTTCCGACTCGGAATGACGTTAAAGTACTATTGTCGGTGATGCGTAAGTTTAAGATGTCGAATTCTGTCTTCAATTCTCGATTTTTATTAAAAGATACATAGACGTCACGATTGTCAACAAAAGAACTCCCCTCCAATTGTCTTAGAAGAAGATTCCTAGCGTAGGATAAGGTAAAATTTTCCTCCAAGCAGTTCGAACAATGGGGATCACCATGGCAGCAAGTTTTCACGCTTTCGAGTCCACTAGAAATCGCAAGAACTGAGTTCATAACATACACGATTTTATCCCAAGGGAAACGCTGCAAGTAGAGGAAATTACTCTGAGTAAAAATTTCAGGTCTGTACCTGTTGGCCGCAAGCCCTTTAAAATATGCTCCTGAAATGTCCACCGATACCTTCTTGATGTAACTTCCAAGTTCGCCCAAGTCTTCCGCTGGCGTGGAGATCCAAAGTGAGCCATCGATTACAAATGTATTGTCAATCCGCGGTATGTTGATTCCAATCCATATCCTTTTAGTCAGATTTTTGTTCCTGATCTCGTCAAGAATGTGAGCAACATAATCATCACTTCCCAAAAGGACGCTTACGGTTACAGTTGCGCGCCTTTTGATTTTGAAAATTATACCTGGAATTTCGTCATACGAGCCAGCCACCTCGTCGATCGCGACACATATGTTGTAGTACTTAAGTTCTTGCTTTAGGTCTTGGGCGATCTCAAGGTACGAACCCTCTTCTCTAGAGGAAACTATATTGATACAGGACCATCTAAAGTAGGCAATGATAGAGGCTAGAGAAATTGCGAGATGTCTGTTGGAGGGGCAGGTGCGAAAAAAAGTACTGTACATGGAACTGTCGTTAAGAAGGGAACTGGAAGCGCCATAGCTGACCTGCAAAAAATAGAAAATTAACTCAGAAAATTTATCATAGACTTCAAAATTCGCTACTTTAGAAACGAAAGGAAAACTCGAGCCGAAATCCGTCCCGCACTTGTTACTGGGGTCGTTATTAAGGACGCGCCGGTCAGTATTTGGCAATAGAGTACTAAAGTGATGACATCATAAAAATGAAATTTCTGAAATTATGGGATTTGTCAGGATATTCTAAAAGAACAATGTCCAAGAGGCCTACTTACGAAAAAAATGAGCATTTCGGGGCAAATTGTCGGCGAGATACTAGCCGGTTATACCCAGAAATTCAACTCTATACAAACCCTTCTAATTTTTTGGGGGTCGACCCAAAAAAAATTTAGAAGGGTTTGTATGGAGTTTTCTAAGCATAACTGGGCTACGCTCTCAGAGACAATTTGCCCCGAAATGCTCATTTTTGGCAAGTAGGCCTCTTGGACATTGTTCTTTCAGAATATCCTGACAAATCCCATGATTTCGGAAATTTCATTTTTATGACGTCACACTTTAGTACTCCATTTGTTTTTTTTACTTTTTTTTTTTCAGTCCCTAGAAACAGTCCCTGAGTCGTCCCAGAGGTACTTTCCGAAAGCTAAATCGGTCCAGATTCTCTCGTTTTTAAAGACCGGAATCCAATAGTGCTTCCAAAAAAAGTACTGTAACACAGTGCTGAACAACTAGCTAAAAAATCGGAGTGAACATATGCGTTTTCAAACGAAAACGAGAAACACACTAGTGTGGAAGGGGCCTCCGATTTGTCCAACACGGCGCACAATTTAAAATTGTGTTTGCGAGGTATTTTCGGATTGAATAAGTGAATAAGTTTCACACAAAGACGATTTGGATACGAAAAGTGTTCTTGGCGAACGGACTTGAAAAAGTCATCACTACGAATGACTCGCAGTCTTGCAAATGTTTACGCGATTTTTTAACTAACTTTATGTATTAATTCATTATCATTATATATAAGTTTTTCTTTTTGCAAGTAAAGGTCTTGAAAAAGTTTAGAAATAGCTATTAACAGGGACTGTAAAGAAGCGGGGGGAGGCCGAGTATCCTCCAGCTTATCTCTTTTACCCCACTCGCCTCAAAACACTTCGACCATCAATCGATTGCATAGAATCCAAAACAAGGGAACCAAAAAGAGTAATAAGCCATGTCGAGAAGAACATCTCTTTTCAATTATCCATTATCTCAGATGTGATACCAGTCATTAAACAGGGTGTCTTTGCAGCCATGTAATTTCAAATAAAACTGTTATTGTGTTGCCATTTATTTATAGACACTGATACAAAAATAAAATTGAAACACAACACACCAACCAGTAAACAGGAAACACTTAATTTTGGAAAAAGTAAAAAACATCAATTATATAACATTCAAACGAGGAAGAGTAAACAGGAAATATGTGATTTAAAAATGAAGTAAAATACTTAAAGAATTTTTCTTCCTTTCTAGACAAAAGTTTTTTGATTATATCATCAAGTTCGAGCAATGAAGAGTGGCGAAATATAAACGTAAAAAACGGAAACAAATCTCAGCGCATGCTCACAGTGTGTCGTTTCCCATTGCCCCTCTCTTAGAAATAATTGAGTTCATCTGTCAATCGGGCAAAGAAAAGAGGAAAGAACAGGAAATGTTAGGCTAGGTGCGCGCTGAAACTTTTTTAAAAATTGTAACATTGTTAGTACATATTTTACCTCGCAAAATCTATTATAGACATACTCGTAAGATCCTTACTTGATAAACTAAAATGCTACTACTAAGAATAAAAATAAAAATACAAGAAATAACATTACAGTGAAAAAATATAGTCAGAGATGATGGTTTTAGATTTTGCAGTTGAATATGTGGTTAAATAGTGAGATGGCAAACCATTCCAGTGTGTGTTAGTTCTCGGCCAGAAGCTGTATTTATACGCGTCACAGGATGGCTGAAGTGGAATAAATTTTAGTGAATGAGATGCCCTGGTTTTTGGGGAGGACTCGGTGATGTTGTACACATTAGGGGATATCAATAGCGGCCTGGTTCATTGGTAAAACATTTGTACAAACACACGTTTTCGTTATTTCATGCTCGACTCGTTTTGTAAGTGTTTTTTTTTCTGATTTTTTTTTCTAAACAGTAATACGCATGTGAATACAAAGAAAAAAAACATCATTAACTTTCAAACAATAAGAAAAGAGAATATTCTAGATGCAAACAAACGACGCCAAAGCCATTTACACGTATAAACCCATGCTGACAGGAAAATCAACGCGCGTTTTAACATTTGGAGATTTACAGCCTTAAGATCACTTTAACACAGGAAAGACAATTACCATGATCATTTAAATGACGCTTACACTTATTAATGACAGGGAAAATTTCTCAAGGTTTTAAGTGTCTTTTAAGGCACATCAAGTCCTTTTCAAATTGCAGTACTGAGAACGCCATTAATACAGCCAACAATAAGCCAAGATAATTTGGTCGGCCGTTTAACCGGGTAGGGTCATATTATGAGGCGACAGGATGTCGAATGAAACACAAAGCTGAGTGTTTGATACAGCCTCTCAAATGAACAATAATTCTTGAAAACATTCAAAGCGAGAGTCCGAAAAATTTGAGTAATTAAGATCTGATGTGTACACCACCATAAGGGTAATGACTTAATGACTTGTTAGTATTGAAAACGCGCTTTTAAAGCTTGTTTTATTGTGGTGCGTATACACCACCATAAAGTTTAAAATATTTTAAAGAAAATCTTAAGTTCCTTAATTGCAGTCTCTCAAACAGAAAAAACATCCCCTTCTTCGACAGTTCAAATATATTTAATTTCATGAGTTAAATATATTTGGATAATGAGAGGATGAAAATAGTTAGGATTAACAAGTGCAAAAAATACCGTGTGTAGATAAAAAACATTTTCAATATAATTGTTGAACTGATAAATGAATAAAAAACCACAGTTCCGGTGTCACTTTCAATAAGTTCATGTACTTACACAACCGTATATAGAATTTGGAGAATACAGATTGTGATAAACAGCCGGTATAAACTAATCATTTCCACGTAACATTTATTTTATCTTCATAGCCGTATGCCAATAAAGAAATAGACCTTTTTACCGATACGGCGACCATATTGAATTAATTCGATTTAAGGAGTATTATGAGATGCCCAGGGGTCAGGAGCACGATCCGTTATACTCGCTTGGTATTAGAAATATGGTCTTTCACCGTATATTTCTCGGGGGAAAGGCGATCATTACTACATCCAAACACTGCATAACAATCTTTTTTCCCATTACAATCTTACTCTAGGAAAACTTTAAGAAAAAATACCCCGAAAGGCGCGCGTTAATACTAAGCGAATATATTGGAATGTGCTCATGCCCCCTGGGCATCCCATAATGCTCCTTAAATCTAACTAATTCAATATGGCCGCCGTATCGGTAAAAACTGAGTCTACTATTGTTCTCGTTGAAAATACTGATAATAATTATAGTTGCTGGTAGACCCTGAAAGGAGTGACACACTATGGCCCTGGAATCAGGTTTAAAAACCTGGAGCTGTGTCACAAAATTTATCAAAATTCAAACTTGGGAACTGCCATCAAATTGAGTGAAACATTAAAATAACTGCTTAAAAAGTTAGAGGAAGGTATAAATGACAAAACAAATACAAAAAGAAGCACGGATGGATAAACTTGAAGAAGATTGAAGCGGATGTTGTTTGTAACGATTGATACCGCGATGCTTAGGAGACATACTTTGTTTGACACAAAACTGTGCTTTTGTCCTTCACAGGTAATATCTGTAGTTTCATAGCCAATAAGGACGGGTAACTGGTATTTTAAACAAAATGAACTAGACAGACTACGATCGTTAAAAATACGTCCAACGATGGAGACTATTGTAACATGGAAGCAAGCACGCAGCACTCGTTGCCACAAGTGCATAGTGATATGGTAGCTTCGAAGACGTAAGTTAAAAACTAGGCTCTAATCAATTTACACAATTTCATATTCATGCTCAGGTAGGAAAACGAGTTTAGTTAAAAGATACGAGACATATTGCTTTTATCCAAAAAGTTGTACAAAAGATAATAATAATAGCCCCGGACGTACGAGCTTGGAGCGCGGTCAACGAGGACAAAATAAGGCTGCCTCAAACTCTAAATTGTAAATTATTGCAAACGGAAGGTTGGTGAGAAGTCATTTACATCGAATGAAGAAACTCGGCGGGAGCTGAGTTATTGGCTTTTTAATTTTTGTCATTTGAATGGCCTCTCGGTATGACAGGGGTCGATTGATACTAACATTTACATACGGGATCAAAATCATTTCCAAAAGACAAAAAAAAATTCTCTCGTTTTGAATTAGTCTTACACAACAACAACGCGAGCAACAAAGCGTAATAGCTACTTCTCTGGAATAAACAAAAGTAAATTGCAACGCTCGCTTTAATGGTCACAATTTTTTAGATAAATTTACATCATAAATTACAAAAAAAGCCACCTGACCGTAGCTTACTCACTACATTTTCAAGCCACAATCAACGGTTCGTTTATGATATTTTAAAAAACACCGATTAATTTTCTTCTTCTTTTTCCTTTCTTTAATAGCAGTATTGTAAATCAATCTCAACGGGACTCTTTAAAAATAAGAGAAGGTATATTTAATGAATAGGAAACGGGAAAGACGTGACTTGAATGACATCCTCATTCACTGCCTACTTATAATAAAAATGGAAATAGATATAAAAGTCACAAAATTATTTTAGAGAAAGCAACAAAGGGCGACAAAGCAGAAAAGGGAATACTTTAAAAAGCAAAAAAGGTTCCATAGCTTTCATTTGTAAATTCACATTTCACAATTTTGATCACCAAACATTATCGACGCTTTTGTCACAAAGAGGAACAGAGAGTATGATCGCATACTTTCCCCAAGGCTGGGTGGTGATACTAGTCTCGACTAGCCCGCCTCAGGATTAAAAAAAATCTCTTTTTTCTACTCTCTCTCAGTTCTTCAAGGACCCGATTGTATAGAACTGGTCTTCGTTGAAATGTATACACCCGTGTCGTTCGCGCACAAGACACAAATAGCGCTAGGATCAATTTGGAAAACTGGTTGTAACGAGGGAGAGAGCGAACCGATACTTCTCATTCAGGATGATAAAAAAACGATATATTATGAAAAAATCTAGACCCTCGTGGGAGCATTGAGCAACGATTTCGTGCGCGGCGGAGGGTGTTCTTAGCGTGTTATAGCGTGATATATTTGCATGGAACGTGGGGAAAACAACCTTCTACCGCCTACACTGAATTGGCTTTAGGCAATCTAACCAAGAGGAAGAAAGACTCGTCACTACTTCAACGCCTCTATTTCTACTGTAAACAACTTATGTGGTAATAAGAAAGGTCGCGCCCCTTCTAGAATAGAAAAGGCTTGTTGATAAATTAGACAGACCAAAATGACATTTTTTTAAGTATGGAGCACTCGGTGTCCAAAACTTCCGATCTTATGGAAATAAGCACTTCCAAAAACAAGTCATTAGTTTCTCTTGTTAGATTTAAAAAGTATATCATCTTAAAAGCGCCGTAATGACACAAAAAAGTGTAGCTTCTGCTAATCCACAAAGTGAAAAGAAAAGAAAAATTTGAAAAACGACACTGGAAACGATCTTTGTTTGATAGAGTTACATTATAAAATCCATCTGTTAAAACAGCACTAGCAATACATTTCGCGGTAGCTGAATGAACGAATTATTTAAATTTGCGCAGACTGTATTTCGTGTTTGTTAGCTGACAAAATCATCAAAATATTAATCAGAGATAATCGGATAATCGTTCATCCGAGCCGGAAGAATTGTTGGATGAAATATTATGTGAATGGTTCTGATTTATAGCGGCCCCAGAAATTTCAGTTTGATTTGCATTAGCTCCCTTTCTTATTCCAACAAATTTTTTCTTGAAAAAAAAAAAACATGCATATATATATCGGTTATTAAACCGTTCATAAGTAGTTTAAAAATTGCCTCGGAGAAAATCCTCTTCGCAGGAATAATCTAAGACTTTTTCAAGCGAAAATTAAAAAGAAAACTTCTTGCAAAAAAATGATTTCTAAAACATTTATGCCCTCAAGTTTTATTTCCTCGCCCGTCAAAATTGCGACCGTGCAAAGTAACATCTTGCATGCTCCAATTCCCATTTTGAAATCAACAAATTAAAATAACATGTAGTGTGACCCACTCTCCCACTCAAGAACAGCTATCTTGTAAAAGTGAAAGTAGGATGACCAAATCCAAGTAAAACGTTTTCAAAAGGTGCCAAAAGTTTAAAACACATTCAACATAAATTCATAAAAGCTACAACATAACTTAAATTTCTGTTTTTACAGATGTTTTCTAGTAAAAATGCTATGCAAATGTTTCATTGCTTGCATGTAAAAGACTGAAATTGCTACTACTTTTGTTTCTCGCCAACACCTGCCTACGGCCAGTCTATTAAATGAAATATCTCAAACCTCGCCATGGCGGATAAACGCGTTACAGATCAAAAACTTTTTATTTTGGGTTCGCTACTTATATCTAAGAATCTGAATAAAACTCCACCAATGTGAAGGTGCTCTTGTCGTTAGCTGATCTTTTTCGTGTGTTCTTCTGAAATTTTATGGTTAGTGACAAATTAATCTTGCATGCAGCACGTATCACGCTAGAACACAATAATAAATACATATAAGTCCACATCGAATTTAGCCAAGCCAAAAAGCAAAGCAAAGTCCTACTTATCACTTACTTTCAGTCAAACTGATAAACCATGAACCACTCCATGTAAAGAAATTCGCAGCTCTACTTATAAAAAAGAAAACTTTGACACACTATTCCCCCTAAGAGCTTTAAATTTTTATCTGAACACTTAAAATTGGAGCACAGCCAAGCTGACACTGTATGAAAAACAAAAACACGCAAAAATACAGCGGCTACATTTCTCTTACTTGTGGTACTCCATACATGCTCAATAGTGGACTGATCGCGAGGGCACTCTTGCTTGATTGAGGGCCAACAACTGCAATCACCCCACAGCTATTGCCAGCCTTTGACAAAGAGCAGTTTTTCCACGAAGAGCCTTCACTTTTGCCAAGTATGTCCAGGAGCTCTCTTAAAGCGACAGCAGGGATTGAGCAAGTGTCTCTAATATCGTAGCCAATGATAGAACCACCACGGAAATTTGACTCGTTGTTCTTCGCGTTCACGGTGTGCACGAAAGCTTCCACAAGAAGCAAACCTTCTTCTCTTACAATATCGCATCTTGGACCTTCCGTTATCGGAAAAAGAGCTCCAATAACAAAATAACTGTCTTGAAATCTCCTCCATCGCGAACGCAAATTGGACGTCGTTTCCACGGATAAACAGGATACAACGGCGAACAGACAAAAGGCAACGGTGTTCATTCCAACTACGTAGCTACAAAAAAACAAGTATTTCTTTGAAAGCCTTCTTTTGAATTATGTAAGAACGAGTATTTCTTTGAAAAGCTTTCTTTTGAATTATGTAATAATTATTTCTTTGAAGTTCATTAATTTATTCTTGCGCAGGGTGTTTTGCTTGTCAAGTCATTAATCCTGTGCGAAGAAACAGTAACTACAATGTCAATCGTGAAATTTTTGACTAGATTTCTTTTTCTTCAGACCAAATTACTGGTTAAATCTTGAGGAAAGTTCGTGCAAATTGCAAAGAAACGAAAAGAAAAGACGAAGAAAACTCTTCCCTATCGCGAGTTGAGGCGACAAGAAATGTTCAGAATATTTTTTTCGTAACCTCTCACAATATCGTCAGATAGAGGAGTTCTCCTGAAGACAGAAAAGAAACTCGCCAACAAGCACTGTACGTTCTTTGTTGCTGGAAATTGGATAAGTTCATTATTTGCGAGTCGATGCTTAGCGATTTTTAGTAATTGCTGTACTTTGCCACTCTTCTTGACCCCAAACAAACACAGAATGCAACCTACCGGTGGTGCGAGCCTATTACGGCTCAATTTTACTGAGTTCCTTCGAATCTTCACAAACGTATATATTTTCTAACCCGACCTTTATTTGCTCCGTCCACAAGGCTGCTGCCTTTGTTCGTGCCGTTTGGTAACATCCGTCTTTGCAGTTTTGTTCAATGTTTGAGAGAACCAGTGGGAAAACTATCCAATGAAAAAGTTTGGCAAAGACGTATACTCCCAAAGATTGGGTTTCAGATATTAGTTTCCTTATATTATTTCGTAATTAATGAGTTTTTCATTTCGGTGCGCCATGATTGATCGAACGCATCGATGTCGTGTTGTCGGAGCTACAGTTCACAGGTTTGACTACGGCAGGGGGGGGGGTACTCAACAAAGTTTTCTGCGGAGAGGCTCCGCTCCGACGTCCAGCCCCTTACCCTCAGCTTTTAGGTAGCCCTTTCGTATATCTTTTATTGACAAATGGTACCCCTTTTACACACCTAGTAAAGAACTTTAAATCCCTACAACTACTGTAAATTCGCTGTCTATTAAATATGTAATCATAAACCAGAACGTTTTCCCAACTATTTCCCATCCATAAAATGCATCTGTTCGCCATTTTGGGCCTGTTTACAGACCGAATTGACAGATTTTCTTCTCAGCCCTTCATATACTTCAACAAGTGAAATCCCTACCATACAATATACCTGAAGCCTGAAAAGTGTACCCCTTTCGGGTTGAGTCTCCCCGTGCCGTGTAGGCTATTATAGGGAGTATCCCCCCCCCCGGGAATTGACGTAAGAACGAATTTATTAATCACTGCCAAAGGGAAATAAAAAGTGGTTTCCCAAGCCTGAGGTTAGTATGTGTCTATAGGAAATCCTGACAACTGTTAGCAAAGGTGCAGGAAATAATCTTGGGCGCTTGTATATTACGTACATCAGACTATGAATATATATTCTTTGCTTTAAATCTCTCTCAATGTTACGTCACAACTTTGTTTTAACAAGAACACGTTGAAATGTACTTAGAAAGGCTCCAGCGTAGACATTGACATTGAGAATAGATACTCTCAACTGCGACAAATGCGTTGAAGGGAGCTTGAAAAGCGAATTCGCACTCCTTCGAACTTGATCGCGCTTATTTCATCTCGTTCATTTCGTAAAACGTTGGCAAATTTTTCAGGAGTTGAATTCTGAAAGACTGTATCGAAGTTCAGCAAAACAAAAAGCCATTGTCATGCATTCACGTCCTCGACAAAACGTGAAATTAGGCAGTTTGACGTCACAGTCATGTAGTGACGGCAAAGAAATGTGCCAAAAGAGAGTGATGCATATGAAAGGTTGTTCTTCTGACAATCTAAGGGACTGTTTACATGGAAGTGGGGGACCCCAGGTAGGTGAGGTACCCCGCTTAGGTGGGGTAAAAAAAATAACTCTCCTTTACATACAACCTTACAACCCCGCCATCGCGGGTGCACGTTCTCAAGATTATTGATTGGTCGTTAATCACGTAAACAAGAAAAAATACTGGAAAACCACATGTTTTGGCGATTAATGCTCTTCAACACTCACTTGCTGCTCTCGTTGCAACCTTCAGCGCTGTGGCTTTTTATTCTTGCCTTTCATAATGATACAAAACCACCGCCAAACTGAATTTTGAGCAAATTTAATGTATCACGAATCCGCCCGCGGCCAAGCGGGTTACCCCATCTTGAAACGTTTACATGGCAAAATTTGACCCCGGATGAAAGGCTTGTCCGGTCTGGCAGACCAGGCTACCCGCCTTGGCGGGTCACCCCACCTATCATGCAAACGTGATCAGATTAAAGTGAGAGATTATATGGACAGGCGGGTTACCTCACCCACCTGGGGTCCCGCACCTCCATGTAAACAGGCCCTAAACCTATTGCTTTTACGTCGTTCTCGTTGCCGTCGCTGTCGTTCCCCAACGTGGCGTTGCCTCTCGTTACCTATGAAAGCGAACACTCGCCTGCGTCCGCTTAACGGCGCTTTATCACAGCTGTCTGGCTCATTAGATTAATATTGCCGCCAGTAGTGCGTCTTCATTCGCTAAGAAAGTTAACTTTAGAGAGGAAGTTACTTGTAATTGACAAGATCACAGCTTCGTATCAGACAAATGTCTCTCCCGAAGCTATATCAAACGTTACAAACAACAAAAAAATGAACTTTTAGGTTAGTTTAACAAGTTTTCAAAAAGCGCAATTGCAATCCGTTTTAATCTTCTCCAAGTTTGTGACAGATGTATATGAAATAAATCAGCTCGGTGGCTTCATTGGTTAGAGCATCGCACGGGTATCGCTAGGTCACGGGTTCAAATCCCGTTGAGCTACTGAATTTTTTTTTTTTTTTTTTTTTTTCAGGCTTCTTACGCAATTGTGTTCACAGCTGCGTTCACAGCTGCGAGAATCATCCGATCATTCTTCATTTGACGTCTTCGAGTTTGTCCATCGGTGCCTTCTCTTGTATTTGCTGTATTATGAAGCGGTTATTTTTTATTTTTCACCCAGTTTGCTGGCAGCTCTCACTGTTTGAGCTTTAAAAATTTTCATGACAAAGCTCCTTTAACCGTTTAAGTCCCAAAAGTGACTAACATCAATTTTCCCCAGAGTCATTAAATTGGTTACCCGGGAAAGATGAAGATGAAAGAATCAGGGTTTTCGTTTGAGGCCGGACGTTTCGTTCGGTCGTTTTCCATTCTATGTCCGGTACTTTGATGCTAAAATTTGAGGGTTTTTTAATTTTTTGTAATTATTATCATTTTTTTTTTTTTACTTAACCCACTCATAAACTTACTGCCATTTCCCCTCCACGTTCCCCTACCAAATGTCCAAAAAGTAATAAAAAAAAGTCTTAAACTTTCTTGAGGTCGGAACGGACCCTTACTGACTAAGAACCCAAGGTCTTTGCGACCTTTGTCACAAGGACTCACAAGATAATATTTTAAAGGACCCCTTCGTACGGGTCACATCCTCCTAGATAGCTCGTACCTTCGGCGCTCGTAAGGCGCCTTGTTGCGCCAAAAAAATTTCGAGTCCGGTGCTTTCAGACATATATCCGGAACTTAAAAAAAACTGTCGAAAACCCTGAACAATGAGTATATGAATTTCATGCATTAGAACTGCGGGATAAAGAAATAAATGTAGAAAAGATCATCGCAGTTATAGACGCAAATTATGCCGAGTTGCGAAAGAGAGCCTGAAAATTCAGGCTCGCCGGGATTCCAACCCTGACCTCTGGCGATAAACATAGTTGGTCAGAATGAACGAATAGTGTTCCTGAACTAAAACTTTGGAATCCTTTTAGGGTCGACAATTTTTCTTTTCTTTTCTTTTTTTTTTTTGTTTCATCTGCCTAAATACAAAAGAGTTGTTCATGTTTTGTTGTTACAGACTTCCTTTTATTGTAAGATGTGGCACAAAAAAAGTATCTTGTAACATCATCTGCTCAAGCTGCTGAAACTTGTGACACAAGCAAAAGCAAATGCAAACACAGCTAGCAAAACGAATTAATAATGTTTCTGAATTAAGTTGAGAATTTACTTTATCACGCCGTTGGTAACCTCACTTTCTGTCTTTCACTCCCGACCAACACAAAGAAACAGTTTCTTTGGAAGCTACAATCGGTGAGGAGCAAAATTGTAGAGACACTGTCCCCAAATAGGGTAACCTCGGGAAACAAAACAATCCACATTCCTCCCCCTCACCTCCAAAGTTGCTTCCTACAGGCAGCTCGAGCAGCGGCACAACATTGCATGAAAGGAGAGGGTGGGGAGAAAAAAACTTCATTTTCACCGGTTAGTTTTAAAGAGAATAAATAGTATAGTCATAATTTCTTGTTGCTGCGTTTTTAAAATGAGACAGGGAGAGATAGCTCATCGCATAAGTTTTTTGTAGACAAAAAAGAGAGAAAAACTTGTGTTGACTACGAATGATTTTCATACACACTAAAAATATGTGTACACGATAGTTTATTAACGTCCACTGAACAACTTATCACGGTCAAAAAAAACTTAAAAAGAAAACAATGTTTCGAGTTTTCCTCTCATTAACGTTAAAATGTCTCACTGACTCAGTGTTCTTAAGGAACTTCAGTGAAGCTCACATGAACTGTGACTCGATTCCAGACTGATCATTAAATCAAAAGGAACTTTTGTCCCTCGTCGTTGCCTAGCGACACCACTGACCAATAAAGTGGCTCGGATGATCGTCAAAAAAATTTTCCCCGAACGCATTTGTCATTTCTCTACATGATACCACTTACACACATAGCGTGATCATGGGTCCTTTCACTCGACAACAGCGACAGCGTGTTTCTTTCTTTCGGCGACATGTGGAACACTTCCTGGTTTACTATGCTGACGAAGGTTATCCTCCCTAAGAATGAGACAAAATAAATAAAAAATGCTTCCAAGTTTAGTGTTGTTTAATAGAGACCTTTAGATTTTAAGACGAGGACGACTACGCGAACGAGATTTTCGCAGTACTAAGCAGTGCGCGCGCGTGAACCAGCGTAATTTTGGCGTAATTTTAGCCGTCATCATTGCACAACAGATTTTAGCGTAAAAGCCGTAGTGACGGAAACAAATTATCCAGTAACAGACGTTCTATCATTTTTTGATCGGGAGAGGACTTAACTTCCTTCAATAATGATAACCATGTTTACTCTTCTGGTGAAAAACGTAAAATGTGGTTTTACGGGGTGTCTATTTTTTAGAATACGCGAAAAAAAACTTTAAGTCAATTGATACAAAACAAGTTTAACTTTAGAGTCTGTGCAACTGAAATTCAAAGCTGCTGTTTGTTATATGCCGCACAAGATCTTCGAACTTTTCCTTTGTCTACCAGATAAAATTCCAAATGAAAGCTGCTTTATACATGTGGTAATGTTAGCGATGCTGTACAAAATGGTTTAAAGATTTGACTTGGTGAATGGAATTTTCAAGTGTGACCATTCATACGACAGCCGTTGAGTACTATAGCTCTTCCCTTTGGTGCTGATTATCATACTCTGCACGGTGGTTCTAACTTTTGAATATGTCTATTAATAGCAAATTAAAAAACCATTGAGAAAAATGCTACTGGATTTCTTCTTTAGGTTCTGCCGTTTATCACACCGTTCGAATTGCCTACTGTAGGTAATAGCATGATTTGTAGTGCTATTTGGCACAAATACCACGAGTGATATTTTGAAACTGTTATACATAATTTCACGAGCCGTTAGGCGAGTGAAATTAGAGACAATTTTGAAATATCACGAGTGGTATTTATGCCAAATATCACGTACAAATCATGCTATTATTTGTTTATACTACTACCCGCAAAAGGTTTTGTAATTTTCACATGTAGGTACGTCAAATTAAGCTGAAATACCACTGCTCTAAGCCAATCAAATTGCAGAAAGTTCTCATGTAGTAGTCAAATACATACTTTCTCTTTCTTGAAGCCAGTATGATCTTTTTCTCCTTGGCCGCTTTGAACACAGCCTTAGGGACGTGACGATGCCTGAAAAATAAACGCCCAAATTTTTAAACTTTCGAAGTAACAAGTATTCATTTAACATAAGGTGTTGTTGTTTCATGCTCCTATTAAAAGGGGAAGGAGGGTACAGGGGCCCGTTTCTTGAAATCACTGGAAATTTTTCGGGCCGAAATCAGTTATTGGAACTCTTTAGATTGTTCCCGCATTCCTGTAAACAACGGCACCAACTCAAGCTTGGGGTGACAAAATCAGTAGCCTTGCAGCTCTTCAAAACCTCTTATTTAATTGGACCCTATGTGTCGTTGCTCTTTTTTTTTTTCGGGCGAGGTTTCATTGTTAACTTTGTTTGTTCATTGTTTTCCCAAACAATACCGTGAGGTCTTATGACAACTCTGCTGCAAGGTCGCTTCACAAAATATAGTGATTTATACGAAATTGTCCATCGAAGCCTCGACTTCGATTCATTGTCTGGTTTACTTAACCTGTTCCAGGCTCCGAGTTCGCGAAATTAAGAAAGTGCGAACACGGAAATAAAACGGGCTTGCTGGATTTGTTTGCTAATCATCAAGAATAAACCAGTATTGTATTGTATTGTATTGTATTCTCGGTCTCCCCGAGTTCAAATCCTCGGCCAAGCTTGTAAATAGCCAACGGGTTGCCTCCTGCCAGTTGAGGTTTTTAATCCTGTTATGTTGTATNAACGGGCTTGCTGGATTTGTTTGCTAATCATCAAGAATAAACCAGTATTGTATTGTATTGTATTGTATTCTCGGTCTCCCCGAGTTCAAATCCTCGGCCAAGCTTGTAAATAGCCAACGGGTTGCCTCCTGCCAGTTGAGGTTTTTAATCCTGTTATGTTGTATTTGAATTATTTGTATCTAAGTATATGAGTGAAGTGCCTGTAAACTAGCTGGATAAGTTACGTGCACTTTTCAATACAAACAAGCCTTTAAACCCTTTTTTTAAAAAACGGGAGGAAACTGATCGTGTTTACTGGAGTGGAATGGGGGAAAATTCAATCCAGCACGAATGAACAATCGCGATGAAACGCAATGCGATTACACTCAATTAAAAACGCTTTTTTTTGCCTTCACTGTGGTTGTTGCTTAGGTCCCAATGGTGTGGCCTTCACTTTGTCGCGCTCTGAGCAATTCTAAGAAATAAGGGTGTGCAGTTACCTCTTAATTCGCTTGAGTTGAGGGTGATGTTGGAATCTTTCCTTAAGCTTGGCATTGTAGTTAAACGTTGCTTTTTCCCGTGGAGCAAGCTGAAAAAAAGAAAAGGACTCTTAATTACCGGTAACCAGTTTACTTCCAAGAAACATGTCATGAACTATCTTAGTTGTCTGACGAAATTCACAACCTTTTTAAAACTGGCCAAACTGAAGCAAAAAAGGAAGAAAAACTCGCACACATACTTGCAGTCCTATCTAAGGGTCCATTTTGACGACCTTTGCTTTGAATATTTGTAATTACTCGTCTTATGTCTCCAGAATATTCAATACGTCATGGGTAAAACGCGGTCCGCGTACCACAGGGAGAACTCCAGGTTCTTCTCAAATCTGTATCATTCCCATAATCCGCAATGCGCAGTACGTATCGACAGTCTGTGTTTAACTCTGACCGACATGTTTCATGTCAATACACTGAACCCCCAATAAAAGAAAATCGCTCAACTTGCCAACGATTCCTCAGTAGCTCAATTGTTAGAGCATCCGATCTAGAACACGGAGGGTCGTGGGTTCGAATCCCATCCGGGGCACAGATTTTTTGTGTGTCCGCTTATGTTTGATTCTTTTTATCTCCCTTTATTCCCTTTAGTATTTCATATCATTGGCACAGGTTGGTTAATAATAATAATAATAATAAATCTTATATAACGCCGATATCAATCAATATTCGCTATTTTCATCAGCGCTTAAAAAATAAAAAAAATGTGCTAACACTAAAATTATAAATATTTCTTAGGGACTTGAATTGTAAAAAGCTGTTGAAAAACGAGTTTAAAAAGCGCATAAAATTACATAAAAGCTTTCTGGAATTAAAATGTCTTGAGTGTCTTCTTAAAAGAGGGGCTGCTCCTAATCGCACAGGGACTGAACTACTTACCGCTCCCAGTTTTTGTGAAGCATTAGCTTTCCATATTCTAGGAGGAAAAGGATAAAAGAAACCATTTCACGATGAGCTCATTAAGAAAAAAAAGAAGGAAAAAACGTCAAGTAACACTTTACCTGATATTTGTTTCATCGCTTCCTGAAAGGACGTAAGTGGAATCCGCACTGAATCGAACACAAAACACGCGTTGCATTCTTCGTGTGTGATACACCTCCCTAAGGATAAGACAAGCGTTCAGTTGCAACAATCGGGTCTTTTTCAAAACATTCAATTTTATGACCAACCGTACCCGCTTAGTTTTAGAGAACGCCCAAACTACCGGCCGTTTATTGCTGGTTTTCACATGACGTCACTAAAATTCAAACTACAAAACTATCGATCCTACCGAGATTTTACTCTCACGATGTATTAGAGCAGCTGAAAACTAATTTTCATACAAATTTTCGCTTCAAAAGGGTTCTTGGTTTTGTGATAGAGTACGCCTGAATTTCTAAGGTTTTGCGTGACGCGGCATTTACATGACGGCCAAGAGAGCTATCATGTAGGTTTTAAAAAAAATAACTTATTTCAGGGACTCTTCCTATCTAAACAGTTTATGTATTAGAAAAAGTTTTACTTTAATTTTTATGAGTTCTTCGAAGAATAAATTCACGCTTTTGTAGCAAAACTCGGTAACAGATGTTTCTGTTGGTTTCCGTCCGCCATGTTGGTACTCATCCGGATGGGCTCCAGCGTGGGCGGAGGTATGTTTAGAGATATTTAAACCCATTTTGCAAAGAAGCTTATAGAGCATATGCTTTATAAGGAGACTCGGCTTTAAACCGCTGCCAGAAAGGGTGTAAGACCTGAATATCTACTGAACGGTTTTTATTTTATTTTGATCTATTTTGAATGGCGTGACACTGAAAACCAGCAATCGGTTTTGAAACGAGGTAATGTTTTGAGTAGGTGGGATACGATCATCCTAGTGTGTGTAGTGGTGAATAGATTACCTGTCATATTCAGAATGAAAGTTAGTTGTGTCTCACGTTGCCTCTATTGCATGACAAATACCGCATAGGTTGTTGAAACGTCGGTTACTGTCACTAAAGTCCTATTCAGGAATACCCGGATCAATTTAGCTTTCTATTAAACTGCTCACCTACTCCTCCCCTAAGCCATCATTTTGCCTAAGTAAGAAGTAAGTGTTTATGTTAGCTTGGGAGAGGGGTAGGTGGGCAGCTTCCCAGAAACTCAAACCTACGAATCAACCCATTTATTAAGGTATAGTTTATTGGTCGAGATTCGTACCGTCACCGTCAACCGCCACCGTTCCGCGAAACCTCCCCCGGCGGGCGGGACAGTCTGAGGTGAGAGATGTTCCGGCACTTGCATTTTGGAGTATATCTCTCGCGAACAGTAAGTGCACTGAAAGAGTCTCGAGAACCAAACCAGCAAGACCTTGCCCAACTAGTTTATAAAAGAACTGGTTTCTGTGGCTTACATAAGCAGTGGATAGTGAATTGCGAGGTGGTAAAGCATAATTCCCCTTTTAAAAACCGGGCTCTGTTGACCACTTCTGGACTTACCTGCTTCTTCCACTGTCGCGACTGTAAATCCTGATCGTTTTATCAAAACTTCCAGTCACAAATTCCTGACCCGTGGGGGAATAGTCCACGTCCAGCACAGCTGAAACATGATCCATGTGCACGTTGATTGGTTGGTTAAAACGACGAATGTCAAACGTGTACAGATTCGAATCCTCATTGGCTGCTGTGAAGATGAACGACTCAAGTGGATTCCAGGCCACTGTGTTGCTCCTCATCTCCATGACAACCTTACGGAGTGGGGTCGAACCGCGCATATCATAAAGGATAATGCTGCGATCGGAAGCCGTGCTGGCGAGCAAATGGGTCTGGAGAAAAAAAATGGTAACGGTTCTCAAATACCACGGTGCTGGCTTTGTCAGAATACTCCTAAATCAATGGTGATGCGTTCGCTTCTCCACGACGTCTGAGCTAAATTATTGCATATATTGTTTTGCCTATTGCTCCTTAACATAAAGTTGTGCGTGGCAAATCAACATCAGCTAATTCAAGGCTGGGCTCTAGCGGCACCCGGTGGCCCCTGGCGCCTAACTTTTGCTCCCCGACGACTAGAAAAGTTAGATCCTGGTTGTTTTCATAGAAATCAACAGCAATGCTGGGCACCCTGGATTTCACAGGTCTAGAGCAGACGAACACGTTTGCGTTTTAGGTGAGGAAAATGTAATTAAAGTTAACCCCCTCCCCCCCTGAACAGTGTTGGGTGTTACAAGTCAAACACCTTTTACATATCTTGTACACTTTATGGGCCTCAACTTTGTTTAGGGGGGGTGGGGGAAAAATCTTGTTGAGGCCGTGTTTATGAGTGTGTATCGCAGGTTAGCTGCAAATTCCATACAAAACCAAGTGAAAAGGGGAGGTGTCCCAACACCTTTGGGCCAGGATTGTAGCATAGCCTTGAAAATCCAATCATGCTATCAGAGAACAGATTTAACAAATTTTGTCAAATATCCTCCTCTATCCAGGAGCTAAGCCACCAAATGGGATTGGTTATTTTGGTTTTTACCTCTATGGGGTTAAACTTGACACTATGGATGGTGTCCACACCCCAAGTGAAGCTCCTCACGGGCTCAGCTCTGTGTTCATCCCAGATATCAACTTGTTCTCCGCAAGTTGCAAATACGGCACTCTTCCAATGATGATCAATACCATGATAAAGATTCTAATAAATGAAAAGAAACAAAGTGTATTAAACCCGTCAAACAAAGGAAAATAATGACTTCTGACCTGTAAATGTGTGACATTCAAGACATGGTATGGATCATGTTGTGTCCTAGCCACTGGGCTATGAAATGAGGACCCATAAACTTGAAATATTTGAGATGGCTGTCCTTATGTCCATCTTAAAGCAAGTCAAAGAAAGTGATTGAGTAATGCACATAAACTACTCCATTACAAGTAATAACGTGTTACCCCATTAAAGTCAGTAAATCTCAATATTCACCAGCTTTACTATGTTGTTCCAGGCTCCAAAAAAGTGAGGAAAGCAGATCAGGAAAAGTTGCGTGAAAACTGCATGGAGGTTAGGGAAACATGGAGTAGTTGAGCCTATAAAAATTGTTCAATACCTCATTTGGGCAGATGATTGGTCATATATGATTGCTCGTGCAGAGTCTAACAAGTATGTCAAGTATGTGAAACCCTACACTGCACCTTTGGATGTTTTGACATTTGACATTTTGACACTAGAAATACTTTTCAGGAAGTGGGCAGGGTAGAGGGCAGGATTGAGGTCATGATTACAGGCTCTCCCCTTCTCGTTTCAAGCTGTTTTTTTGTTCATTCGTTATTACCCTGCTTGCTAGATTTTTTCGCTTGTCCACACTGATGGAGACCCTGGCGCAGGCTACAGCTCTACTGAATCATCATACCTTGCCTATGATTGTATTTACTGGATCTGGTGAGGATGCACTGGCACTCAAACTCTGCTCCATGCTCCACTGTTTTATAACTTTGTCATCTCCAATCTAGATGCAAGTTTTAGGAATCACCACACTTTAATTTAACGATACAAAATAATTATTCAAATAATAAAACAGTCAGTTGCATTATAGGCTGGATTTCCAGCCATTCGAGTGAGTCCAGTTTGGATCCTCCTTTCAACAGGTGGCAGGTGCTCTTCAAGCCACTCATGGACTTCTGTCAAGCCTAATATTATAAAGTTGCTATATGCAGTTCTGAAAGAAGCTAGAAATCTTGTTGAGCACTCTTAGCTAGATGTTGTTTCCATGTAGGCTCAATTTATAAAAAAAAAAAAACATCAAGCTAGACTACAATACAATCCTGATTTCTCGAACCCTCAGTTTTTTGAAATTCCAAATTATTTGAAAAAAACCTAAAGTCACTTCACCAGTCAAACACTGTAATATTACTCTCTATTTTTCACACCACCTGATAATTCAAAACCATCTGCTTTTCCCAAGGTTATTCCAATAATAAGGATTCTACCATAGTTACAAGTTTTCAAATAAGAGCCTTTTTACTTTTTACTTTTTAAAAATCTGATTCTTGAGCACTTGAGTGCAGATTTATCACATGTACCGTAACTACAAAAGTCAAGAAATGCATGCATAATGCATGAAAGCAGTGATAGCTCAAACTGATAACTAGAGATCTTTTCTATTTGTTTCATAAATACTGCAACGGGCCTGTTAAATTCTTACTTCATTTAACAAATTATGCTACTTTAAAAAGCACCACTTTGAATTAAAGAGCAACTTGCCTTCCAGGATAGAAGAAAATAAAACAAGCATATACAATGTACAATAAAGTATGTTCACATATGCAGCAATTGTTGCTATCTTTTTGCCTATGACCAACAATTAATTCATACTTTGCAATCTTAAAAATTAATTAATCATTTTTAAGAAAAAATGGAGGAAATTTAAACAAACTGCGATAAAAATATTGTCTCATGCAGGGGCGGATCCAGGAGTTTTTTTAGGATGGGGTGCACTCGTCTCTTGCTCTTCTTCAACACCAATAAACCACATAGTTTTTTTTTTTGCAGAATACAAGTTGTATTAGAAAACCGCAGGTCATCTCAGGGATGGGGGGGTGCGCACACCCTGCACCCTTCCCCTAGATCCGCCCCTGTTATGGGAATTGTTGTGCAGTTTGTGGTAGTTGCATTTGTAAAAAAATTCAAAACTTACAGAGATGAATGTGTCTCCTAAAGAATTTACACATAATCCACGAACAAACCCAGAATGTGCTGTTAGGGTCCTAAGGCATTCACGTCTTGGTAAACTCCATAGACGAATCTATAATAAATTGAGTTGTATCTTAATTAGATGTTACAAAAAGGTTCACATGTGCTTGTAACCCGTTTATGTATTTTGTTAATAGAACAACCACTCTCTTTAACCACCTTATACTTCTTTTTGACACAAATGATTAAACACCCCTACATGTACTTCTCTCCCTCCCCCTCCCCTCCCCCCTTCCCCCCACCTCTGTCCTTTTTATTATAGTACAAACAACACTTTTATTTCTTCATCATGAGTTTTAGACTGAAGATCAGGAGGTTGCACCATAGAATTTCTGGATACTATTAAAAATCCTGGTCAGACCAACCATTCAAGATCTATAGAACAAAAGATCAAGGTGTTCAAATGCAAATGAGGACAAGGTGTTTTCCTGCAATCCTGCACCTTAGAGCACTGTATTTGCAAATGACAAGACCTAATTTCCATAACTAGGAAGGTCATGCAACAGATTTACAAAGGCATCCTAAATTAAAGATACCTTAGCAGTATTGTTTCTCTATAAAGAGCTAATATTATAAAGGCCTATTGCTGCCGGTGATCAAATAATAATAATAATAATAATAATAATTTTATTTATATAGCACTAAAATCCAATAATTGTCCAAAGCGCTACCTAATTACAAAAAAGAATATAAAAAAAAATCTAAATTATAAAATATCTACAATATACAATATAATTCAAATATAGCCTAAGTTATGTACTATATAAATCAAAAACATCTTAAAACAAAAGGAATCTCATAACCTATATGCCAACTTAAATAAAAAAGTTTTAAGGGATTGCTTAAAAGTTGCCACTGAAGCACATTTCCTAATCTCTAGAGGTAAATCGTTCCACAATTTAGGTCCTGCAATAGAGAAAGCTCTGTCTCCATATGTTTTCAATCTGCTTCTTGGAACCACTAAATATTCTTTACATGAAG